CTGAAACTGGTTTATAAGACCCTAGCTTGAGACAGAAAAGCTGAGAATAATTGGTCTTAATCATCACTGATCAGGACAATGGATTTAGTCAATATATACTGGCACATATTTAAATTATTTTACATTGGTCTGGATTCTTGCTTAAAAATGTTTGATGTTGCATTTTTCAAACAAGGAATTTCAGATCAGTTCATGGCTTTCTTAAGGTAAAGCTTTATAGGGTAGACTGAATTATCAGCTTACTGCTGTAAGAGTGGCATCACCTCTACCAGGTTCTCCCTGCCACCTTTTCTGTCTGCTTCAGTGCCACCTCTTGGCATTTGTGTGACTCTCCAGTTAGCCATTACAGCTCCTAAAACCTGAAAAACTTACATTAGGGAAAACGTTTAATGTTTGCAGTTTCTGCTGGCTGGTGAGCTGAAATGGCTCTCCAGCTGCACAGAAAAGCAGCACAGTTGATGCAAGGGACAGAGTGAAACTGGGACCTAGAGCTCACCAGAGGAACAATATGCTCACTTGCTCAGGAAGGAGATGGACTGTAATTTTCCTTTACAGGTATACTATGAAAAAACAAAGGGTATAGTTTCTCAGTCCAAGTAATTCTGCTGCATGAGTAGCAAGCCAAATGGAATAGCCTTACTGCTTGTTGGGTAACAGAGGCACTGCTTTCCAAGTTTAAAACATGGGTTATGTACTACCATCACGTTAACATAGCATAAATCGGTATTGCCATCCAAAAGTCAGCCCTGAAATGTTGTGAACTGTAATCTGAAGGTGGTTCTGTGTGACACTGGAATGGGCCAATCTGACACCTCACTGATGCTGCAAGAGCAGGGATCTAATGTCTGAGGCTAGAACAGTAGGATGTAGAGTGGGAAGCTTGATTCTTAGAAGAAAAAGTAATTTTAATTTCACTTGTCTCATCTATATTAGAACAAGAGATCATTTTTGAGTCTCAAGTTATAACTGATGCTATCAGCTAATCAGTGAATTATCACTTGAGGTGTGGATTGAATTCAAAACTGTCTGAAATACTTTAATCAAGAAACAAATTTAGAAGAGTACTGCACTGTAACTGCATTTATATTTAGCTGCTCATTTTGCCTTCATGATTTACTGAATGCTCACTTTTAAAGATACATATTGAAATCACATTTCATACCAAGCCAATAATTTAAGTAATGACTTGGACCTCAGTTAGCATTCATAATAATTCACAAGTCAGTGTACCAAATCTATACCAAGCCAATAATTTAAGTAATGACTTGGACCTCAGTTAGCATTCATAATAATTCACAAGTCAGTGTACCAAATCTTATCAATAATTTAAGTAATGACTTGGACCTCGGTTAGCATTCATAATAATTCATAAGTCAGTGTACCAAATCTTAACAGCAGAGGTGTTAATTAGGAACCATTTTTTTGTTGCGAGTTTTTGTGAACAACTGCTTCAAGATTAACTTAAGCAGCCTGAGGAATAGTTTTCAATGGGAGTGCACATTCAGAGAGATCAGAAAGTGCCCTGGAATCACAAGGAAGTCTGAGAACAGAAGGCACAAGGCAACTGAGGGCTGTACCCTTAGAGTACTCTCTCTGCGCCAGGAGACTTTTATTTGACCTCCTCTCCAGGATGCTTTCAGGTCCCAGCCTCAACTCAGGGATTGTTAGGTGTTCTAACTAGGTAACCTCTCAGGAGCTAGGTCACTGGGCACATAAGGATGAGCCCAGACCACACTGGTTGGGTTGGCAAAAGGACAGCAGCTCTAAATGGGTGTTTCACCTGATGGTTTGGGAACTGGAGTGGGAGAAAAGCAAAAGTGTCTTGTGGACTGAGGTCTTGTGCGAGTGTGCAAAACTTCAGTATTTCTAACACCCACAGCAGTAACATAGTGACATTTGCAACCCATGAGAATTTTCCTACACTTCTTTATTCCACATGAATTGTTAACATTAGATATATGGATACCTATAAAGGCACTTAACATAGTGACATTTGCAACCCATGAGAAATTTCCTACACTTCTTTATTCCAAATAAATTGTTAACATTAGATACATGAATACCTATAAAGGCACTTTCATTGCCTATTTTAGTAAGAAAAGTTAGGAAACTTGGTCACAACACAATGTGTTTTGAAAACAGATTTTTTTACTTAAATATGTAACTTCGGATCATATGAAGGCAATAAACACCTAGAGTTACTTAAAAGCAAGGTGGACCAGTTGCATTTGGATTATGACAAATTAATTTTTACAAGGAAGTACTTATTCCTGTAGAACCAGTAACTAAAGTGTGATGACTAGCTATGTGGGCAAGGGGAAAGTTGTAGATGTGTATTTTGACTTTACCAAGGACTTTGATACAGTCTCCCACAGTACCTTTATAGCCAGATTGGTGAGTTGTAGATTGGATAACCAGATAATAAGGCTGCTGGAAAATTGGCTGGGCCATCAGGCTTGAAGTGTGGTGATCAGCAGTATGACTGCTTGACTCTGGCATCAATACCTGAGCCAATATGCTTAATTCCTCACTAAGAACCCAGAAGACTGAACATCGTCTCAGCAAGTTTACTGATGATGATGATGAATTGAGAGGAGCAGTTAGTATGCAGGAGGGCAGGGCTACCATTAACAGCCAGGTGTACAGCCCAGAGAAACAGGCTGCTGAAAGGAACACGATGAAAGCCAACAAAAAACAAATGCAAGGTCCAGCACCTGTGATGGGAAAAGGCCATGGATCAGTACAGTAACTAGAATGCAATTTGATAGGAAAAGACACAGTGGCTCCCAATGAACAAGCTGCCATGAGCCAGCAATGCACCTTGCAGCAAACAAAGCCAACAACCTCCTGGGCTGCCTTAGCAAAGCCATGGGCCAGGAGTCTGGGGGTGGTGGATCTTCCATTCTATTCCTGTGGGACCACACGCTGTACTGCTTAGCTTTGGACCCCTAAATAAGTCCCACTGGACTGCCTTAGGCCAGGGGATGGCATACATGGCTTACGTTCAGTCTGGAGAAGAGATGCTTTTGCTAGTGTGAAGTCTTTAGTAGCCCTTATCTGATCACACACGCTGGCAAGTGGCAGACTATAGTAACAGAAGTTGTTGTAGTGTCCCTTTGATGGACTTTTTAGTTTGAAATATTTTAAGCTCTAATTTATGAGTTTGTTTCTATGGTAGACATACCTCAATACTATTATTTTACTCCAGAAGAAGTCCTGGTCTTCTCACTGATCCATACAGTAGCTTCGTATCATAAAAAGGTCAAGCACAGATTAACCAATTTTAATTTCATCTTTATTTCCATAAATCAAAGTTACACTTCAAGTAGTTAGATCCTTGGTTTCACATTTCTCACTCTAAGCACACACCAACAGTAGCGACCACAAAATGTGCACCTACTACCATTCTAAAAGACATCAGCTGTTACTGTATTTTTTCAATCTGATACAAATATCACTTGCTAACAACCATTACAGTTATTTTCTCCATTTATATGAGATGGAGATAAGCCGTAAAATTGATGCCTTTTTGCTTGTTGCAGGTGCAGCTAATATTAGAATGTGCAGCAGCTTTAAAACTCAGTAGTGAGCTGTTAAATAAGTAGCAGTGTCAAAGCATCTCAAGGATTCGACATACTGAGTTATTTTACACTGTGCGACGAACAGGATGACAAATCTACACAGTACTGTCTATTATATTCCATACACATCTCTTCATGAAAAGGGTTTGTCTTCATACCCTTGCGCAACTATGAATTTAATGGAATAAAGATGATGACTGTTAGAAATATTTGTTCCAATAAATACATACTGTCTGTATGTACAGGATACTGTACTGCCTGTACGAACAGGATGACAAATCTACACAGTACTGTCTATTATATTCCATACACATCTCTTCATGAAAAGGGTTTGTCTTCATACCCTTGCGCAACTATGAATTTAATGGAATAAAGATGATGACTGTTAGAAATATTCCACACACATCTCTTCATGAAAAGGGTTTGTCTTCATACCCTTGCGCAACTATGAATTTAATGGAATAAAGATGATGACTGTTAGAAATATTTGTTCCAATAAATACATACTGTCTTTCATTAGAAGGCCATGGTATATAATCTGAATCTTTCTGGATTGGTTGAAAAGGACAGAATGCATAGAACTTCCTAGTTCCCTCTACAGAATATTTTCACAGAAAAATACTTTAATTTATGCAAAACCATACTTATCATCTCTACATAAAAATCTGAATTTCAAATAATCTTTGTATATTCCTTAACGAGTCAACTGGAAAATGCATTTTTCTAGAGCTGCAAATACCCTCTTTTAGAAGAAATGCATGGTATCTTTGGTTTAGTTATATGCTGGATGGGGAAAAAATGTTTTAAAGGGAATAACCACCTAGTTACCTGAGGTTCACATTTCATCTCTCCTAATATGAACTTTGGATAAGATTTGCTGTTTGGTAGCTGAAAAGGGAAATTCTCTACAAAACAATGAAACTCAATGCTTATTTTAATAGTGCATATTATATAAGACAAGGTTGGGTTAGTAAAACTAACTCTTAAGGATAGTTAAAAAAACAAAACTAGTAATTCTACTTGTTCCAGAATTAGTAATCCTACTTCTCCTGTATCACGACCTTCTTTATAAAGTGTTACAAAAATATGAATAGTATTTCTATATTAATCTATTCTTCCATATATTACTTTGAAAAAGTGCTTACAGAGGCAAATACATTAACTGCAAACTCATATCCTTCCAGTTGCCTGAAGCCCTGATCCAGTTGTTTAAAACCCTTGTTCGATACAGAACAAGAGTTAAGACAACTTTCATTTTTCCTTCTAAGGATGCTCTTCCTACTTTTACATTTTTATGTCAAATTAAGTAACAGTTGCTTGAGAAGTACAGTGATTTATGTTCAGTTGCAGATTAGCAATGTAGTTACTTCTAAATAGTTTCATCTCTAATGTAAGGCTTCGAGAAATATTTTATTGCTTTCATTTTTTACCCTTCTTCTCATTATCCAATATTTTGTATTCATCTAGCACAGCGTGGCCAGTTTCCTTTGCAGTTCTCTTTACAACAGCTTTGATACCAATGTTGTCAATGTTAAATGCTGTCACACCAACATTGATTGCAGAATTCATAGCATTGTCTGTAGCATGACCAGCATCCTCTCCATACCTAAAGAAAGAGAGCAGTTTTGTAGATTTTTATACTTAGTATATTAATCTTCACTGGAATTCCTCTAAAGTAGAAATTTCAGCATTACCAAGAAAAAGTAATAAGCATGGAGCCTGCATGTCTAAAGAATAAGATTAGCAATTACAAAGTCATTTGAGTAAGGGCTGCTCCTCTATCAGATGGATTACGCTTTAAAAATACCTATATGCTTCTTCCCTTTTTGTTCAAGTAACCTTCCAGTCTTTCTCCCTCTTTTCTCTCTAGTTTTGAGGTGTAGAAGACTTATCTATACAACTGTTAAGAAGAGGAAGGGAAGAGAAGTTCTGTGCAATAACCTTTAAGTACTTTCTCACCTAAATTCTTAGGTAAAATTCCTATACCCTCTATATAGAAAGCCAACCACACCCTGGGCTGCATCAAAAGCAGCATGGCACACAGGTCAAGGGAGGTGATTCTGCCCCTCTTCTCTGCTCTTCTGAGATCCCACCTGGAGTGCTGCATTACACAAAACCCCAAAAGGCTCAACAAAGCCATCTTGAGGATGATATTAAAATTACGAAGACACAAACCCCCTTGGTCTCTCCCATGGGCTTGTAGGTCCAGCTTCTTTATGCTTTAGGGAACAAGTCAGCAGTCTCATATTTATTACGAAACTGTGTACAGAGAATATACTGAAGGGGGACAAGAGTATAGTGAGAACTCCAACTGTTCTAGGAGCCAGACATGTCCCCAGAGAACACTGCAATCAGACAAATGACCAAAGGGAAGTATTCCTGGCAGCATCCAAATGCCAGCAGTCAGCAGAGTTACTGTTTCCCTGTGCTTATTATGACCAGAGATTCTTTGAGAACCTCAAAATAAAGCTATAGAGAAGCACAGAATATTAAAGAATCAAAAAATCTGTAACATTATCAGTACAGCAGGCAGAGCATATGGCTGGAACCAACAATGAAAACAAGTAAAAAGAATCAGTATTTTATTTTAATTCTCTGATAGAGCAACAGCCGTGAATCACCAACATTGGATTTGCAGATCACAGAATTCATCTCACAGCAAAAGCACAGTATTTGTCAATTTGATTAGTTATTTTCACCTCAGGAACATCATAAGCCAGTATTATATAATGCAGAGCAGGTAACCTCATTTAAAGTAAGACTGTAGCTTATCCAATACAGTAAGACTAACAACTTCTTCATGTCTGGTAACTGATTTTTTAGTCTGCCGGTCTCAATTGCATCATTTTAACCTTTTTTTTTTTTTAAGAAAAAAGTTGTGCAGATGTATACACTTCATTTATTTAAATCATTTGTAAAAGTGGTAGTAGCCTGGGACTTTGGCAGGAATATTACTTCAGAAGCTGCATCTTCCCCCAGTTCCAATCAACATGCACGTGACAAGCATCGCTCTGTAATTCCAAAGGTATTGCAGCTAAGTTTTAGCCAAGTTTTCTTTAATTTAAGAGACACTGTAATGATGCTCCTCTAGTTTTGTTTCCATTAAGTGGAATTTAGCTCAATCACTGGCATTCTGATTGGCAGAAATCTTTGCCACTGAAACAAAAACCAGCTTCCAAAGGAGAGATTATGTAGAATTTTAACACACTTATAGATTTTAAAGATTACGTATCAAATATATTCAATCGCATTGCAATTAGGTGCAAGATTTAATTACTTATGGTGTTTCACTCAGTGTCTGTCGTTGTTTGCTGATCTCTGTATTTCCTATTTTTATATCTAAAACAAAAACAATAATGTGAATTTATGTGAAATGAGTACCAGTATGATGCCTCCTGACATTCCCAGTGAAAACAAACAGCAGCAATAAAGCACCACTGGCTAGGACTTCACTATTGGGCCTCCTATTTGAAATGCATCACAACACAAACCTAAATGCCAATCTGCTTAATACTTCATGCTGATGTTTATCTTCTTACCTTCTGCCAGGAGCCTGTATGCACTTTCAGCAAACCCCTTTTTAATATCTCTTTTGCTGCACTTATCACCAATTCCATTTAACCTACATGCTTTTGCTTACTCTTCACTTTCTATTAAACTTATTGCATTTTTTTTGAGGGGCACATTTAATATGTTTCAGTTATTTCAATATATTCCCTTATTCTCCACAGCATCTTCCAGTACATGCACTCACCTTTCATCTTTACATCAACTCAGTAACATCTTCTTAATCCCAAATGTTACTGTCCTTCCGCCCCACTATTTTTTTCTAAGAACATGTGTATTTTGCAAGTCAAGGCTGTTCTATTATTGCTATTTATGCCTTAGATTTCCTTACACAAATTTTTTTTGTGCCTCCTTGCTTTAGCCAGAGCTGCTGACAGACGAAGTTCATCTATTTTTCTTAAAATTAGCCAGGTTTGCATAAATTAAGGATTAGAGCTGACAGGTTTAACAAGTAACTTCTTTCATAATGACATTATAGTGCAGAGCAAAGATACAAATATGAACGTTATTTTTAACATAGCCTGTAATACTTCCACAAAAGAGCTAAAAAAAATATGTAACCACAATCATTTACTCATTTCCTACTTTTGCTTACAGGAGACACTCATTACTGGCCACTTAGCACCTTATCACATGCTACATAATTATAGCAAAGCAGGTATTTCAGTTAGCTTCCCTGTAATTCCATAAGCCTTTTTTTTGCCACTATTCAAACACAATGACAATGTGCTGTAGAAGATGAAACCAACAAAAACATAACTTACTTGTATTTGACAGTTTTTACAGTCTCAGTTGAAACACTTTTAGCAATGCACTTTGCTGCACCTTCCAGACCTTGCCACACTGTTGCAAACCCTGTAAAAACAAACAGCTCATTTGAGCTCACAAAATTGAAAAAAAATGTAATTTAAAAAGTATAAGGAATTTTTATTACCTTGAATACCACTTGCTGCTACAACCAGAGCACCATCAAAAGTGGATTTGCCATCTTTATCTTTCTTAAGGGATTCTGGAACTAATTTGCTGCCATGCTTCTTCACGTGTGGCGCTAGCTCCTTTCCGACACAGCTCGCTATAGAGCACACTCCCTCAACTACGAAAAGACAACAGTATGCAGATTATTCAGGAAGAACATTGGACATCTTTCTTTAAAGATCTCTACTACTAATTAAAAGTAAGCTTCACTGAAGTCTTAAGTGTTGCTTCTATTTAAATATGCTTATTTGAAAGACAAGACTTTAATCCATACTTAAGTACCCAACTGATACAGAGCAACCTTCTTTTTCAGGCTCTGCACAGCTCCAAATCCTAGGAAACAAGTAATGCTGGTCTTATGGCTAAGAATCAGTTTGAAAGAAATACATGCATATCTCACACTAAAACTTCAAGAAACTTTCCATTGCTTTGTTATCCCCAACTTGCAAATAGGGAACAAGCTGCTGCTTTCCTGACTTGTCTTCTGTAGAAGTCTTTCTTACAATCATTCCAGTCCTTCAAAGTAGTTTTATACCATCCAGCACAATTTGCTTTTAGACTTGGATGAGTCACTAGACATTAAATATAAACATTATATGCAAATAAATAACGAAATTAAGTTACTGAGAGCTGCTAGGGTTGCCAAGCAGCCTTGAACTCCAGGCCATTTCTTTCTTTAAGTTTATACATAGCCAAATAGACTTGGTTCAGGTGTGTTAAAAATACACACACACACATTCTCTAGGGGTACTGTATGTTAGTAACCAGTGACAGTACAGCTTCTAAAATACATGGTTATCAACTGAAGTAAGAGAGACCATTTTGAATTAACTGTCGAGAACTTGAAAAAGCATGTCAAACTTGTGACTGTACAGACTATTCTTTTATGAAAGAAAAAGGAGATTCAAGGCCAATAATAAGTCCTAAGGCATGTCTCCTGCAGGAGACAACTAGGCACAAATGACTGATCTCTGGATATCATCAAGTCAAACCCTCCTCTACTTCACTGGCTAGAGAAACCAGCTCTCATTCTACAGAATATTACTTAAGGCAAAAATATAACATACTTTCAGATGCAAACTTTTACCTAAGTACTGGCTGACTTTCACAGCTCCTCCAGTAGCCTGTTTTGCTACATGAAGTCCTTTTGCTACAGTTGGGTTGACTTCCACAGGCTTTTCTTCTGGTTGAATGTGTTCTCGCAGTTTAGAAGCTCCTTTGTGGATAGCTTTACCAGTATATTCTGCTCCTTTCATTAGGCCCCAGCTTACCCAAGATGCACCTTCAAGACAAAAATTGCTTTTCTTAGAATGTACAATTTCAGACGATGATTCCTACAGCTATCTCTCCTCTGCCTCTTCAACACTGACTTTAGAAACATCCCTGATTACACAATCTGCAATTATATTCTTCCCTGAATGGGCCAGCATATGAATTCCTGTGGTAACTTCTGCTCCTACACCACTGCTTTTTTGATTCACTTTATTTAAGTTATCACAGCCAGCCCTCATCCAAATGTTAGTTTAATACAGATACTCCATTTTCTAATAGATATCCAAGCTCCAACTGGGTCAGAAGTGATAGAACTGCACATCTCAATGCCATTGACGCTGTGAAAACATACAACACAACCCTCCAGCAGTCCTCGCAGATTCGTATTTATTACAATCAATTGGTGGTTATTAGCATCTTCCAAAAGTTCTCAGAGGAAAAAACCCACATGTTTATCTGCAGAACTCACAACAGATGCTTGCTGTAATATAACTGCTAATACAGGAGTAAAACTGTTCTGTCACAGTGGTTTGAGTCACAGGGGGAAATATCCTAACATAGAGTCAAATGAAAAGCCAGACTCATTTGCAATGAACAAGATTGCTGGCAATGGATTTAAATTCTGCACTGTATTTATAAAGCTCATCAAGGCATCCTTTAGATGGTCACAGCTGGAACTAGTGAGCAACTATTTCTGACCACTCAGCTTCTACCAGCACACATGCATTTAGGTGAAAATACTGTTTAAAAAAACATTAATCACAGAGGTTTATATTCAACACAGTCCTCTTATTACAACAGTACCTGACAAGATTCCATGGGCTACTTTCTCACTCCATTCTGGCAACTCTTTCTGATTTTCTGCTCCTTCAGGTTGTGGTTGGATATGCACAGTCTGAGGCAAGTTAACTGTATCACCAGAAGTGTCTGAAGGCTGACAAGTGAAAGCAAACAGCTGAGAATCTGCTTCGCAACATTTCATCAGGATTTCTGGTTTAGATCATACACATCCATTATCGAATAATATTAATGCTGTGCATGCACTGGGTAAGTACAGAAGCAAAAGGGAAATTTAAGACACAATTACTTTCGCACAGAAGTGCTGTGCATCCAAAAAAGCTTATCAGGTCAGCATTTTTCCTATACTTTCTTCATCCAGCTACAATGAAAAGAGTTGCTTGCCAACATAGCCATATGGTCAGATAGCTAAGTAGGGAAAACTTAAAGTACAACTTCACTAGCAAAACAGATAAGAGACTTCTCCATCTATCATTTTTATCTTCTCAGAGAGAAGTCAACTCTCTTGTTATTCAGCATGGGAACTGCAGTTATAGGTCAGAGAATCCAGCTGCACTAAAGGGATGCAGCTGTCCTTGTTGCTTTGTTCCTTATCCTTTCCTCCCAAATTCAAAAATAAAGGAGATTATTCATTCTGTGTGCTGTTGATGCCTTTGCAGGCTGGCACAGCTAAGGAACAAATCAAGCTGTGCATGATACTGCTGCCCATTTAAAGCCAGGTGGACAGGCTCTGTGGGATTTCACATCAAACTGCAGTTTCTGGAGTAGATATTAATCACTCCAACAGCAACCACCAATACAGGCTGCTTAGTGTTTCTAAAAAGTATAATATCACTTTACACAGTACACAGATAGTGTATAATTAAATTTTAATTACAGAAAGAAAAAAAATTGCAGTAGGTTTAGGGTTTTGTTAAGATTCTATTTTTATAACTTTTCCAATGTAAAAGTAAATAAAGGCCCCAAACATTTCAAATATCAAAGACACTGCTAGATAATGATAGATAGAAGGATAAAAACCTTTTTTGTTTAGTCTAGAGGAGTCTAAATAAAAGCATTTATAGATTAAACCCATAGGTAGAACAGAAGACACAATATAGAATAATATTTGCTATGACATGGAATTCTTAGGTTACCCTGAAATGTTTCCTGGACATAAAAGGAGGGTATTGCACATAGCTGAATGTTGCAGTAAAACAAAACCAAACCGACATTAACAGAAGAGAGTAGATGAAAATTTAGGAGGTTGCTACCCAGCAAGTTAACAATGTATGACTGACATACTATATTACTACTGCTTGACAGCAGTGTGAAATCTGGGGTTCAGCATGTGACCAAAATAATTTGAGCACTGGGCAAGAGAAATGACCTCAGTACACAGCTATAGCTAAAAACTAACCAACCAAAAACCACAATAAAAGCCCCAAAACTATGTTCCAGGTGTAATTTAGTTACACCACAGTTTGAGTTACTATATAGAAAAACAGTCAACAAGACTTCTAAGGACTATACTAAGGAACAGAAATGGACTCTCTAGTAAGACAGGTAACTCAGACTATAATTACATTAAATATAGTTGTCAATTAGATCCTCAGGAGTACTATGTAAAACAGACAAATGGCCATCAGACTAGGCTTTAAAATATTTGTGCTGTATCACAGTTTTTAAAACTCCAGAAATCTGCTGATTTGAAAAATGTGGTAGCCTGCAGTAACTGAATTGTCTCTTAACAAAAAAACAAACAAACAAACAACAAAAAAACCCCAAACTCAACAAAAAGAAAAACAACCACAGGACACAGCACACACTGCCGCTGTCAATCAAATCAGCAGTTCTAACATGTATTTCAGTGACAGTTTGATTTTTTTTTTTAGCATAAAATTTTGGAATCACTGTCCTGGAATTTACCTGGACTTTGTGGCCAGACATCTGTTTAAATTTATCTTCAAAATGTGCTCTCCGAGTTGCTGGGAGCTCTGAAGATAACCCTACTCTCTCATGGGATCCTGGCACCTGCGACACCGTATCAGGGAACATTAACAAAAACATGGAATTTTAGGACAGTAAAGAACTAATGAGGTATCAAATCTGAACGACTTCTATGCAGGAAAAATGACAGAATTTTATCCAGTGAGTCCTGCACTGAAATACCACATACTTTTGTAGTACTTTCCCTTTTAAGTAAAA